ATAAAGAAAAATACTCATTAATTAAAAAATAGTATTGTTTTGTGACAAAAGTATTCATTTATGAATTTAGTATCGGCTAATTTATATCACAAAGAAAAATACTCATTGATTAAAAAATAGTATTGTTTTGTGACAAAAGAATTCATTTATGAATTTAGTATCGGCTAATTTATATCACAAAGAAAAATACTCATTGATTAAAAAATAGTATTGGTTTGTGACAAAAGTATTTATTTATGAATTTAGTATCGGCTAATTTATATCACAAAGAAAAATACTCAATAATTAAAAAATAGTATTGCTTTGTGACAAAAGTATTCATTTATGAATTTAGTATCGGCTAATTTATATCATAAAGAAAAATACTCATTAATTAAAAAATAGTATTGTTTTGTGACAAAAGTATTCATTTATGAATTTAGTATCGGCTAATTTATATCATAAAGAAAAATACTCATTAATTAAAAAATAGTATTGTTTTGTGACAAAAGTATTTATTTATGAATTTAGTATCGGCTAATTTATATCATAAAGAAAAATACTCATTGATTAAAAAATAGTATTGTTTTCTGACAAAAGTATTCATTTATGAATTTAGTATCGACTAATTTATATCATAAAAAAAAACTCAATAATTAAAAAATAGTATTGCTTTGTGACAAAAGTATTTATTTATGAATTTAGTATCGGCTAATTTATATCATAAAGAAAAATTCTCATTAATTAAAAAATAGTATTGTTTTGTGACAAAAGTATTCATTTATGAATTTAGTATCGGCTAATTTATATCATAAAGAAAAATATTCATTAATTCAAAAATAGTATTGTTTTGTGACACAAGTATTCATTTATGAATTTAGTATCGCTTAATTTATATCACAAAGAAAAATACTAATTGATTAAAAAATAGTATTGTTTTGTGACAAAAGTATTCATTTATGAATTTAGTATCGGCTAATTTATATCACAAAGAAAAATACCCATTAATTAAAAAATAGTATTGTTTTGTGACGAAAGTATTCATTTATGAATTTAGTATTGGCTTATTTATATCATAAAGAAAAATACTCATTATTAAAAAAATAGTATTGTTTTGTGACAAAAGTATTCATTTATGAATTTAGTATCGGCTAATTTATATCATAAAGAAAAATACTCATTAATTAAAAAATAGTTTTGTTTTGTGACAAGAGTATTCATTTATTTATTTATTTATTTATTTATTTATTTATTTATTTATTTATTTATTTATTTATTTATTTAAATATATAGCCCACAGATTACTCCGAGAGGACTCAAAAATACAGTTATTTTACATTTATGAATTTAGTATCGGCTAATTTATATCATAAAGAAAAATACTCATTAATTAAAAAATAGTATTGCTTTGTGACAAAAGTATTCATGTATGAATTTAGTATCGGCTAATTTATATTATAAAGAAAAATACTCATTAATTAAAAAATAGTATTGTTTTGTGACAAAAGTATTCATTTATAAATTTAGTATCGGCTATTTTATATCATAAAGAAAAATACTCATTAACTAAAAAATAGTATTGTTTTGTGACAAAAGTGTTCATTCATGAATTTAGTATCGGCTAATTTATATCACAAAAAAATCATTGAATAAAAAATAGTATTGTTTTGTGACGGATCGGAATCGGAAATATAAATAAAAATACTTAGCGATTATAAAATAGTATTTATTTTAGAAAAAACAAGTATCGGCTTTAAATATTAGAATCGTAATTATAATAATTTTAATGGAAATACTTAGCGATTATAAAATAGTATTAATTTTAGAAAAAACAAGTATCGGCTTTAAATATTAGAATCGGAAATTGAATGTCTTAATTAATTATTCAACCAAACTTGGTTGCGTTTCTCTGCGAAATTGTCGATACTTACTCAGTATCGATACTATTGTTCTAACACTAGTAATAAGCACACTAAAAATTAACTCTTATCCTACAAACATAATCAACTTAGTCATAAACAAGAGACGCAATTAAATTTTCAACAAACAAAACGACCTCATCGACCATAAAAACCGTTTAGACCTAGAGTCATATACTGGTGTCATTTGCCTACCGTACGTAAAAGATTTATATTTTTCGTGGGAAAAACTGCTTTAACAATTTTGTTGGTATGTAATTGCGATACAATCATTAGTTCAATTTTCACACAAATTAAATCTAAGTGTAATCCTGACCGCCTCAGGAACTTGGTATATAAGATTAATTGCTCTAATTGCGAACTTTTTTATATCGGAGAAACTAGCGAAAACCTGAGTTAACGCCTTCATCAACATAAAAATAACTCAAAAAATCCGAAGCATTTTAAGACGATGCTAACTGAGCACATTAAATTAAACCATAATATAGATTTTTATAACCCTAAAATTTTACATTTTGAAGAAAACGTAATTAAAAGAAGATTCGTTGAGGGGTTATTTTTACAATTACATAACGACAAAGTCATAAACAAATGTTTTGACAATTCGGCCCTGAACGAGACTAACACATGGTTCTTCAAAAGCGTGTCAATTTTTTATAAAAATGACAAGATCCCATCGCTTTTATAATTTCCCGTAAAATTTGAACATGCTAAAAACTGCTTTAAGAAAAAATGTGACATTTCTATCTTAAATTCCGAACAGTAAATACATAGTTTCGAGAACTTGTTAAGTTATCATGGTTGTTAGTGTGTTTTACCATTTGTGATGTTAAAAAATACATATTTTATCAATGTGCACATACTCATACCATGGATTAATAATGGTTTCATATGCTATATTAGGATACAAAATTGCAAGTGTTTTATTATTATTATTATTATTATTGTTTTTCTATGATTTTTTTTACATGTAAGAATGTAATCTATTTCTATTTATTTAGTTTTATTTTTTATAGTTAAATTGATTACAACTGAATGAAAGCTAAGATGCCGAAACGTATGGATTTTAAATATATAAACTTTTAAAAAACTCTCATACTATTTTTATTGATATTATGCCCGATTTTTTAACTCAAATTAAACGTATATATACAGGGCCGGTCCTGAGGTCCTTAGCGCCCGCATGCAACTTTTGTGCTAGCGCCCCCCCGTTTTGTGCTAGCGCCCAATTAATTTATTAATTTTCACCGTTTTAACAGTTTATCATTAAAATTATATAAATATTTACATTTTTTTTAAAAATTAATTTTTAATTATTCTGGATTTAGTACACAAAAAGTTAGATATAATCTAGAAGGATATAAAATATATTGATTTTAAATTTATTTATTATTATCGATATCAATAAATAAAACAATCCCTGTCATAATTTCACATTTTAGTAATATTCAATATGTAGTAAATTGGTTAAGAATGTAATTTCGACTACCATAGCAAAAGAATTAATATTTTTGTTAGAATAAAGTTATAGAATTTAAGAAATGCATTTCAGAAAAAGTATTTATTATTTTGATATAAAGATCTTGATATCAAAATAATAAATACTATTTCTGAAATACATTTCTTAATTTCTATAACTTTAAAACAAAAATATTAAGTGAAATAAATAAATCAATTTTTAATTATTATGGATTTAGTGCACAAAAAATTAGATATAATCTAAAAGCGTATAAAATATATTGATTTTAAATTTATTTAGAAAATCGAGGCGATTCGGGGGTTGATTATAATCAAGTATTTTGAAATTTTCAATTATTTTTAACGTATGTGCAATATTAATATTTAAAAAAACTAGCATTTAATTTTTAAATATGACACTCGTATTTCATGTTGGATTTTTTAAATTTTAATTTAATTTAATTTTTCATCATTTACAATAATCAAAATTGCGTCGTAAACTTCTCCTTATTGATATCGTAAGAGCCGTCATATTCAGAGTATCAGCTTGTTGTTTTAAAATTAAATTTTTAACGTATTTTAGAAGTATTGTTCAAATATTAGTAAAAAATGCAAAGAAATTACACATTTCTTGAACAATATTGAAAACAAGCTTATTATATTTGATATGTATTATTTCTGTATAGTTAATAATTATTCATTTAAAGTTAATAATTTAGAGTATGGACATCACTAGGTATAAAACAAGCCTTAAGATTTTCGTTCTAAAGTGAATTTTGCTTCCATTTTTCATATTTGTTCCACGCATGTTTTCAACATTCAAAGTTCAACAGATGCGAAACATTTGCAACAAAAGCAAAATTTACAATTCAATTTCTCGGAATAAACAAGTCATTTTCTAAGCACTAACTCCCCATGTTTTATAATTTGTTTATATTTTTTAACAAGTTCCGATCCAACTAAATCAGCTCGCAATTTTTTGTCAATAATGCCCAACAATTAATTTAATCTTTTGCAGGTTTGCGCTTATGGGATTGAACACTAGATAATTTCTTTCTCGATTCCACGGTGACTTCAATCAAAGAAAAAATTGAATAAGTAAATTAAGCAATAAACAGAGCTGTTATTTACTAATTTGCAGAATTATTAATCGGTTAATTGTTTCTACTGATATCACATTTCAAAATAAATATGCTTTTTGTGTCTCCGTATCCCTAGTTGTTAAATTGTTTTTTATAATTTATCAAGTATTCTAGATTTTATATAAACAATAAAAAATATAATTATTATATTATAAATTTAATTTCCGAAACTCGTTTTGGCGCCCCTAAGGCTTGCGCCCGCATTTTTTGCATGCATGGCATGCAAGGCAGAACCGGCCCTGTATATATATATATATATATACATATATATATATATATATATATATATATATACTAGATGACCCGACAGACGTTGTCCTGTACCCAACTCTGCTTTTTTTCAATATCCTGTACTAATATTTACCATTCAGTTAAAATTAATAATTATTGTTTTTCGAATTACTATTTACATCAATAAATGAGTGAATGAGAACTGCTTCAAATAAAATGATGATTCTCAATTCCCACAGTTATCACTTTAATTATCCCTTTCAGTCAGCAACGAGCGTTCGAACGATAAAGACTTCAGTGTTGAATAGTGAGTAATCCGTAGCAGGTAGTTGAAATAGTGACATCATGGATAGCGGACCCTACGGAGAGGGTCCCGACGATGACCGTGAACAAATACAATTAGGTCCGTGCATAGGAAACGCATTGCGTATATGTTATGAAGAAGATATGGAAACTGAATCAAACGCTAATTTAAATAAATTAAATAGTGATGTTACACCTAAAGGAACAATCAATTCAGTGCAAGAAAGTGACGTTGTATCAAACAACGAAATTTTTTTTTTTTTTTTTTTTTTGTTACAATTTATTTTTGTTAATCAAGACTTTAATGTCTTATTTACAAAATTGATATGAGCAAAAAAAAAAAATACAAAAAAACACAAAATGCAATACATTGAATATAAAATGAAAAAAGTTGAAATAAAAATTAAATTAAAACAGTAATACAAAAATAATAACATAAATGAACGATGACGTGATGATGTATGCCGCGTACTACGTCAGGACGCGTGCAGACATTGGGCTAGGAGTTTGGTAGATCGGAAGGCCATTTCTTGCTCAATCTTCTTATCGGTCTCTGAATCGCTTGAATTGTAGGATTTGTATGCTGGATTAATTTGTTGTTAAAAGATGAACTTCTAATCTTGATCATTTCGTTGACTGTTAAGATTTTCAAATCCTTATGTAGGCAAAAATTCGAAATATACCAAGGCGCATTAGTAAGGATACGCAGAATTTTATTCTGGCACCTTTGAATGATGTTTATGTTAGATTTGCAAGAGCAACCCCATAGTTCGATTCCATAAGTCCAAATGGGCACTATGATAGTTTTATACAAAAGTACCTTGTTATCGAGAGAGATTTCAGATTTCCTCCCAAAAAGCCAGTAAAAATCTTTTATTTTCAGTTGGATTTGTTTCTTTTTATATTCAATGTGCGTTCTCCATGTCAATTTCGAATCAATGTGCATGCCTAAATATTTGACAGAATTGCATAATGGAATTATTGAATTGTTCATGATGATAGGTGGACTGTTGTGATGTTTTAGAGAAACAATTATGTGCTGAGATTTTTCGATATTGATTTTGATATTCCAATCTAAAAACCATTTTTCGAGACTAGATAAATAATTTTGTAACTGACAAATTGCTGTTCTAATATCGGAATTGCATGAAATAATTGCTATGTCATCGGCGTAAGTGCATATGGTTAGAAGATCATCTGTGGGCATATCGTTTGTGAAAAGAAGATAAAGTACAGGACTTAGCACACTGCCCTGTGGTACCCCGCATTCTATATTTCTGATGCTCGAAGTCACATCTTTAATTTTGATTCTAAATTTTCTATTAAGCAAATATGAGCTTAAGATATTGAAGTAGTTTGGAAAAGTTGTTTTGATTTTATATAGGAGTCCTGAGTGCCAAACCTTATCAAAAGCCTGACTGACATCTAAGAATACGGCTACGCTGTGTTCCTTTCTATTCATGGCTTCAAGAATACGAGACACCGTTCTGTTGCATTGTTGAATTGTAGAGTGATTTTTTCTGAAGCCAAACTGATGGTGAGGAATCCAACTATCATTCGGATGATCTTCTGACAATCTTTGCAACAAAAGTCTCTCTAAAATTTTCGATAATATCGATAAAAGACTGATAGGACGGTATGAACTAGCAGTGAGATGGTTTTTGTTTGGTTTAGCGATCATAATAATTTCTGCAGTCTTCCACGCTGAGGGCCAATAATTGTATTGAAGTATGGCGTTGAAAATATTTGTTATATATAAGATACCTTTTGTAGGCAATTCTTTTAACATCTTTGGAGTAATTTTATCCATACCTGGCGAAGATCTATTTTTTATCCTTTTTATTTCACATAAGACATCATTTGGTGAAAAATGTCCTAACGGTGTAGAATGTATGGGTTGATTTACGAAATTGTTAATTAAATTATTCTGGGAAATATTTCGAGCGCTAAAAATGCTACTTAGATGATCAGCAAATGCCTCCGCTTTTTCTTCGTTGCTTTTTGCCCAAATGAATCCGTTTTGGTTGGTTATTTTCAGAGGAGGGTTTTGTTGTAGGGGTTTACTTTTGTTTCTGATTGGTTTCCATATGGAATTATCGTACCTATTTAACTGCAATATATACGACCTGAATGTACAATTCTTCCATTCTTTCATTTTTTTCCTCAGCGTGTTATTGAGATGATTAAGCGATGTCTTATCCGTTGGTAGATGAGAATGTTGCCAGGCTCGTCTTGCTCTTCGTTTCTGTGCAATTAGCTTCTTAATCTCTTGCGGAATTATTAGATTATCATTTCTTGGATTAATGTTCGGGGTGATCTGCTTGGTTGTTTCACGTACAATCTCAGAAAAATAATCTATATTATTTTCTATATCAATAACGCTTGTAGGCCTAGATTTTGGAAATAATTTTGAATCAAGTATGGATTTGAATTGAATCCAGTTGGAAAGATTGTTGTGTAGAATATGATTGTTGATAACTGGAGTAGGAAATGTGCTAAACGTCACAAGTATTGGAGAATGATCTGAAGAGAGATCGTAACTAGATTCAATATTGAGATTTGAAAGATCAATACCTTTCACAATAAAAAAATCTAAAAGGTCTGGAACTTTAGTAGGGTCAGAAGGCCAATAAGTTGGACTGCAAGTTGAAATAAAGGAGAGGTTATTTTGCCCTATGGCTGCATGAAGAATCTTTCCTTTGGCTGTAGTCAGTCTAGAACCCCAGGCAATATGTTTACAATTAAAGTCACCACCAATGATAAATTTATTACCTAATTGAGAGAAAAATGAAGAAAACTGAGCACAAGTAATTTTGAATCTTGGTGGACAATAAACAGCAGAAACACAAAAATTATATAAATTTGTTTCAACAGAAATTTGAGTTGCTTGTAGAAAATCATCAGAAATATTTGGTAGAACAAAATGCTTTATATTATTTTTGATTAATATAGCCGAACCGCCGCGAGCCCTGCCACTTGGGTGATTTGAATTATAAGTAGTGTAGTTATAAATTTTAAAGTAGTTTTTTTCAGTGAAGTGAGTTTCTGAGATTAATAAGATATCTATTAAGTTTAACTTTAAAAAACATTCTACTTCATTTTTGTGAGGTATTAAACCGTTGGCATTCCATTCAGCAATTTTAATTATTTTTGCCATTGCTTTTGTTGTTGACTAACGTGGATAACATATTTATTATTATGGTGTTCTGTTGCAAAAGCTGATTGAAGATATTTTTAAATTCTAAAATAAGTGTTGCTAGAGAATCAGAATCAGGATTTGAAGGTGAATGATTAGAAGCAGAGTAATTGTTTTTTGCAATGTCTGCATAGGATGAATTTTGAATTGTTGGATTTAAGGCCGGAGAAATGTTGTTTATTATATTATTAGAATTTGAATTATTAGAATTTTTAAAATTTTGGTTATTTGGATTTGGATTTATGACTGATTGATTTACTGGAGTTTTGTTTCTTTGTTCTTTAATTTTTTGGAAGTATGAGCAACCGCGATAATTAGCTGGATGAGCACCGTCGCAAAAATAACAACATGCCGGAGCATTCGGATCTTTGGTACAAGCTATAGTATTATGATTGTCACCGCATTTTAGGCAAGCAAATGGTCTATTGCAATATTTTTTGGTGTGATTAAAGAGTTGACAGCGAGTGCATTGTATAATGTTGTTGGACTTTCTCGGTGGTTCGACACGTATTATGCAGTTGAATAATTTATAAATGTTATAAATATTTTTGTTATTTCTATTTGGTTCCAGATCAACAAAAAACATATTAAGAGGTTCTTTTGTTATTCTATGTCTAATATTTAGGATATTACGTACGACATGACCCTGTTTTAATAGTTCTAATTTAATTGCATCTGTGCTTGTTGAAAAGTGTACATTTCTAAGAACAACCCTATAAGCCTTCTCTTCTTTTAATTGATATGTATGATATACGGCATTAGTTTCTTTTAGATGTCTGGATAAAGTTCGAAAATGGTCGACAGAATTACATAGAATTTTAAATGTATTGTTAGCTAAACTTCTCAGGAAATATTGATCGTGCGGAATTATTTCATTTAATTGATTAGACATATCATTAATATCGTCAACTCCGTAAATAAATATTGGAGGGGGCTTACTGACTGGAGCCGGTTTAACTGAGTTGTCATCATTAGCTGTTTCTATTGTTGAAAGGGCCGAAAATCGGTTTTGAATTTTGACATCTATTCCTAATGGTTCAAATGAAGTTTTTCTTTTTTTGAAATTGACTACTTGCCATGAATTAGGAGGTTTCTTGACATCAGAATGTGGTTGAGTGAGGCTTGTGGATGCACTATTACTAGATGATATTACTTCCTGTCTTGAGTCAGAAACTGATGAAGTTAAACGCAGCGAGACCTTTTCCGATGTAAACATATTGGTCCGACCTTCTTCGCGAGGTATCTTGCTGTATTTGCTGGATCCAATAACGGTCTTTCGAAGTTTTGGGATTTCTGATGGTTTACTGTCCGATTCCATATTCGCTTCTATATCTTGATTGAAATGAAAGACATTTCTTTGATTCCACAAACGCACATTAGAGTCTCGATTATGTATGGTTTTTTGTAAGCAATTATTTAATTATCTATACACTTTTGTAAGCTTTTCATGCAATTTAATAAACCGTAAAATTCAATCTGACATGCACTTGTTTTTTTTTTTTTTTTTTTTTTTTTTTTTTTTTTTTTTTTTTTTTTTTTTTTTTTTTTTTTTTTTTTTTTTTTTTTTTTTTCAAACAACGAAATGAAAACAATAACAAATCTAGAAACGACTCGAGGGAAAAATAGTGCTAGTGAAAATCTCACAGGGGACAAACCTTCCCAAGAAACTATTAATAATAATGAGGTAATTAATATTAATGAAAATTTAAAAAACCAACGATAAGATTAATGAGAATACATATGAAAAAAATAATCAATCGAGAAATACTAAAGTATTTAAAACAGTGTCATACACAGAAAAAGACATAGGACCATTTTTAATTTATGTGGAATCGATGAACAAAAACATAGGCAAACTAACCACATGGCATTAGGAAGAAAGATATTTAACAAGCACCCAGAGATGGACAAATACATAAAGGAAATTAAAGCTATCGGAATTAACAAAATCAAAATTGAATGTTATGACTACAAATTCACAAACAAGTTGGTAGCGGACCATATATTCTCAGAGATCGGCGCAAGGGCATATATACCACTATCTACTGTAATAAAAAAGGGAGTAATATACGACGTAGACACCGAGCTATCAGAAGAACATATTTTGAAACATATAAAATCTGAAGTAGAAATATTAGAAGTCAAACGAATTCTTAAAAAACAAAACAATGATTATGTAAAAACGCCCGTATGCGTTTTAACTTTCAGAGGCCAAAGGTTACCTGAGAAAGTAACAATACATGCGGTGAAGTGTCGGGTGAGTCAATACAACAAAATAATCCAATGTTATAACTGTTCACGTTATGGTCACGTGACCACACAGTGCCGAAGTAGTGTCAGGTGCGGACATTGTTCGGGTAACCACAACTACAAAGAGTGCGATAACAGGGAGGAAGAGCCCAAATGTGCATTATGTGGCAATGGACATCAGGCAATTAACAAAAATTGCGAAGTCTACAAAAAACAAATTAAATTAAAGGAAATAATGGAATTTAATAATGCAAGTTATAATAAAGCAAAAAGGATTTTGGAGAACCGCCCCTACGCAAATATAATTACAACTAGACTTGACTTACAAAACAAATAAGTTTTTCCCGATATTCAAGATCTCCAACAACGCACAAGAGATAAAGAACCAGAAAATATGGAAGTGAATCAGCCCAAGAAACGGAGACTACACAATACTAGCGTTGAGACACCAGCCATAGACAACAGCATTAAAAACTCTAATAATAACAATAAAACAGAAAACGATGCACGAAAAGCGTCACCTAATATAAATAAAATACCATTTAAAAAAATGAAAATGTAAATACGAAAATGACAAAAGAGGACAACAGAGATAAAACGAAAGAGAAGGATGTTAGAACGACGAATATACAGAAAAGAGGAATGCAACCAAATCCAAGCACATCAGAGCAAATATCTCTGAACCACATAATCAAAAGACTAAAGGATGTTTTTAACCCTACCAACCAAAAAAATAATCAAGTGCTAATGGCCATAATTAATCGGATGGAAAGAGATCAGATAAACCTAACAAATCCGAAATGACAAGAATGACACAGGAATTGAAAATATTGCAATACAATTGTAGATCAGTGTTTGCCAACAAAGGCTGCATTGAACATTTTCTATACGAGAAAAAGATTCAAATAGCGGCCTTCTCAGAAACATGGTTAAAAGGTGGTAACAACTGCACTTTCAGAGGTTACAAGATCTTCCGCAACGATAGAAATGATGGATATGGAGGTACGGCTATAATAGTCAAGGATAATATCACGGTACTGAATACAGAGAACATTAATATAGGCACAATAGATGTAAGCAAGTGCCAAATCAAAAGAATAACACTTATGTTCTGTAACACCAAATTGACCATTATATCCATTTATGTTGCACCAAACAGCAATATCTCAGTAAGTCAATGGAATCATATATTGTCACAGTTCCAAAACCCATTTATTTTGTGCGGTGATTTTAACGCCCTTCATTATGCATGGAGAGGTAAATGGAATAGCAGAATGGGAAATAATTTACTAGAATCCGTAGAGTCCAATGACTTATTTATACTCAATGATGGAAATCCAACTTTGAGATCTAAAAACAATTTTACAGCAGTTGATATATCATTTTGCTCTCAGGACATAGCGCACAAAATAGATTGGAGTGTAATCGATGAGTCTCTGGGCTCAGATCATTACCCATAATTCTAACTCTGAAACAAAAAGAAGTTCCACAACTCCAAAATAACGATCTTGGATGGAACCTCAATAAAGCAGACTGGGAAAAGTATCAAATATATCTAGAAGATGAACTAAATGGACCCCGTAAAAGCGTACACAGATTTTATACGGATAATTAACTCAGCGGCAGAAAAAAGCATTCCAAAAAGAAAAAAATTGATAAATACTAGGTTCATTAAACCAGTGTGGTGGGATGACGAATGCAATCATCTAATAAAGGAACGGAGAGAGGGTGAAAAGCTTATAGACAGGAATCCAACTATAAAAACTATTTAACGTGTGAGAATATAAACAAGAAAATCAAAAACATTTTCAGGAAGAAGAAAAAAGACAGTTGGAAGGAATACGTCAATAAAATGAACCCAAATGCTTCAGTCAAAGAAGTATTTGGAATGATTAGACGTCTCAAGAAACACACGAACGGGACCGACACATATAGTAATATCCCTGAAGAAATTAGTGAGGAAATCATCGACTATCTATCACCACCGGGTGCCAAAAATGACTTAGGCAATGGAAATAAAACTGTCCTGGAAAGAGAAACAAACAATCTGATGGAACCATTCTCATTGTGGGAACTGGAAATAGCTATCAAGAGGAGCAACAACACAGCTCCTGGAAAAGACGGCATATCATATTCAATGATTGCAAATTTGACACCACAAGCTAAAAGTATACTGGTAGATATAATTAATAAAATGTGGCTGAATCCAGAAGCAATAGAAGATTGGGGGCAACAAGTGATAATACTTATCAGATAAATGAATAAACACCCAAATTTATTTCCTGCATTGCAAAAGTCAAAGATAGAATGATCAAGAGAAGATTAGAATGGTGGGTAGAAAAGTATGACATACTTCCCAAATCCCAATGTGGATTTAGAAAGGGCATGGAACATATGACAACCTAACGATCTTTATATCAGATCTATATCTATCACTGGCAAAAAACAACTATGTCGTTGTTCTATTTAGCGATATTAAAGGTGCGTACGATAACGTCCTACCAGAGGTGCTGGAAGATACTCTGGCTAACACTGGACTACCAGGAAAATTCATAAACTCAATTACGACCAACATCCGAGAAAGAAAGATATTTTTCCGAATAAATGGGAACTGATAGGGCCGAGAAAATCTACAAAGACCTACCACAGAGAGATTCTTAGCCCCATCTTATACTCAATTTATGTAAGAGACATGGAAAAATATGGGAAACAGG